TTTCTTACATTGACAAGTGAGTCTTTTCAGGCTATGCCCCCCCCAAAAAAAATGAATGATGAATCTGGTTCAAATAAATGATAGTGACAAATAATGAGAACTGATGAAAAAAAATAAGAAAATCTCTAAGCCACCAGGTAAGAAATCTGACAGAAGTAATAGTAATAGACCCACTAAGGTCTTTCCTACCAAGCAGCCAATGGGAAGAGGAAGATGATGAATCCTTCCACCACTCTCCATGGAAATCAAATCATGAGCCCTTCCCGGAAAGCATTCAAGCAATGGCAATAAAAGCAACTTAGTATGACTTTATGGGCCATAAAAATCAACTACATTTTGAGCACTTACTGAACATTTTATAGGAATTATTTCATTCAACTTCCAACAGAGCTCTGTGAAATTTATCCTATTTAGAAATAAGTTGAAGTTTAAAGAGGCTAAGGAATAAGTCTAAGGTGGCACAAAAGGCATAGCTGAGATTCAAACCCAGTTTGTCTGATTCCAGGATTACACTATCAATCACTACGTTATACTGATCAAATGAGATACAAGCATGTCAAAGTAAGCAATGTATATGGAAAATACAACATTTTTAAAATAAAGGATTTTTGAAATGCCATTTTCATTCCTACTCACTATGTTATTCAGTTGGCCAATACTCTCTATACTTTACATTTTTGCCTCCTCAAATGTGTGTGTGTATAAATAAAACATCATTCTTATTACATGTACTATGATATATTCTACCTCTTTATTTTAAATTCTGGAATTCACTTTAGGATCCACAAATATGTGGCATCTTACAATTAAAAAGTCTGCTCAAGACAAGTGGTATACGGATATTTGGAAATATAGGGGGAAGAGTATTACACAGGCATCCTGAAAGAATTAAATGAGATACTAACATAGGAAATAACTTATGCTGAGCCTGGCACAAATGGATATTTGACAAATATCAGTTTTTACAACACATCTGCAACATGACTAACCCCTGTCATAAGAATTATAGGTCAATGAAATGAGCTGCCATTCTAGCTTAACAAACTTAACTTTTCAACTGAAAAATATCAAGAAATGGGACTGTGCTACCTACATGAACTTTCCTAAGAAAAACAGATTATCATTTTTCCCCAAAGTGTCTTTTTAATCAGCCACTTGATGAAAAAAATTCTAAAGTTTACATAGTAAACACTGACTGACATTGTTTAGTCTTTTCTCAAAGACACGGGGTCATTTTAGGCACACGCAATGGGAACTTTAGAGCTGGTAGACTCCTACCTTACAAATCAGCTAATTCAAATCTCTCATTTTACAGATGAGCAAACTGTTGTCTCTAGAGGTTGTGCACTATACCCACAGTCACATAGTAGGAAGGTTATGTGATTACGAAACACCGTATTTCTACATACATTATTGTGCTATACTGAACATAATTTCATAGGGAAATCATTAGGGGATGTGCTCCTTGTAATTTGCCCCATTTAAAAAAATTTATTATCCCTTCTCTTCTCCCATAATCTTCGGCAATACATGTCTTAAAAAGGATCTGTGTTGGGCTGGGAATGTGGCATAGTGGTAGAATACTCACCTAGCATGTGTGAGGCCCTGGGTTCAATCACCAGCACTGAAAAAAGAAGGATCTGTGTGTGCATTTATCTTCTTCAAGAAAAAAATGGACTAGCCTACTCCATGGTCCATCTTAGGAGGAGAATTCTAAAAGGTATTGCGGTGTGCTTAAAAAGGAAAGGGATGCAGACTGAATCTCTGTATGGTGTTCAGAAAGCAAGAAAGATGAAATATAAACCTACCTTATCTTAAGAAGACCTTTGGAGATATGACTATGAGAAAGCCCAACAAGTTCCTAAGAAAAGGCAATATGGTAAACTCCACAAGGGCATGGGACTAGGTTCCCAATAAATATGGGCTGAATATCTTGAAAAATGAGTGTCCATAACCATAATAAATAATGCCAGGCCATTGTGCTATTTCATGTAGATTTCCTTTCCTATATAGATATTTACAGCCACTTTTACATCTAATAGCCCCTTGCCCAATATAGTCTTTGCAACTGTTAATAGTCTCTTTATCTTCAAAAGGGATAGTTCTAATATACTCTGATCACACTAGAACTATTTCCAAATTAAGAATGAATATATTCTAAATAAAGACCTGAAGGATTCCCCTATGTATGAACCATATCAATATTATCACACAGCTCTTACAATTTATATCTTGCCTGCTCTTCTTGTGAGTTCTTGGTTTTGCTGCAGATTATACAAGTTGCCAGATAAGTCAAGACAATACAATTTATATCTTGCCTGCTCTTCTTGTGAGTTCTTGGTTTTGCTGCAGATTATACAAGTTGCCAGATAAGTCAAGACAAGTGAGATGTTATGTTACTGAGACTATTTTTAACTAAAAGCAAATGATATTTTTCTGCAATACAAAAAATTATAACTCAAATGACTGTTTAAATAACAGACGATTCTGAAAATGAAAAGCTGTGTACCCAAGCTGAAGATCACTTTCTAGAACACTTATCCTTTGTATTAATTCTTGTCCTCTCCATTGAGATTCCAGTTGGCCCTCCTTCTGTATTCCATTTTCTTCTATTTTTCTCCAAAGTTCAAAACTTTACAATACTCCTCTGACTTTGGTTCAAGAGATATTTCCTGTACTTTGTTTAGAAGGAAATGGGCTTAAAGTACATACAACATTTTATTTTTCCCATGATCTCTTGAAAATATGATCTAAAAAAGTTTGTACTTTGTCTCACTGAAAATTTATACAAATTAGTCACAAAGGGATTTAAAAATATCCTCAGATAATTCTACTTGATGAAGCCAACTGTTTCTTCATAAAATTCTAACTAGAACTCAATATGCTAAAAGGAACATTACATCTCTTAGCCTGCTTCTCACACATGCATAGTTAATTCTGCTTTTGTTACCAGAATTAAAAACTATGAAACACTTCTTTCCTATTATTTACTCAAAGTAGTATATTTAACAAAGCAAACATATGCCAAAGGATATTTTCATCAAACTATTTTGGAAAGAAATAATCCAAACACATTAAAACTAAATTCACTTAAAAGCAATGATTGGAATTATCAGAAATATTTTATTTGGGAAATGATTCTTTCCTCCAATTTTTTATACTTTTGATGTACCTAAAGCAAAGTTTCACATCATAAATTTAAGCAATATGCTTGTTAAGACCCAGAATGTGTTGCCATTAATCAATATGAAAAAACTTACTTTGAAGATTAACTTCACATAAATTGTTCTCATACATTGAGAAGTAATATCACACTCATAAGACTAAGTCTGAAATAATCTTTTCCAAATGCAAGAGATGTCTCTGATAAAATTTTTCTGGATCATTCACAGTATCTTCCTATCTCTATCAGAACAGACTCCAAAAGGATGGATGCATTCAATATTTTTATCTGTACCAGAAGGCAAAATGTTTATTATATGAATTAACAGCATTTAATAAGAATTAACACTCATCAACAAGAATCTGAAGCCAGATAAGAAAAAAAAAATCTCTTGATTGATTTTTTTAGGTAACAAAAATGGTAAAAGTATAGAACTCAAGTACAGCTTAAAAAACTATCATAAAATGGGTGTTGTTCTCAGTTTTAGGGTAGACTGGAAAGAAAACCATTCATAACCTATTGGCTTTTTAATGCTGTCATCCAACATCTTCACAGCAGCTTGTACCAGGTTATCTGCAGCCATGCAGTTATTTTTAGGCTGGGAGTAAACATGCCCTTGGTTTCTGAGAACAATGACCCAGGTACATCTAGAATATGAGAATTTGGGATTAGACAACATCTTAAAGGCTACCTAGTTTACCCTCCCTATTATTCAAAATAGCAAGTTAACTGAGGCTCTGAGAGATTAAGTGTCTGGCCTCCCAATTCACACAATTAGTTAATGGCCAAGCAAGGTCTAGAACCAAGTTTTCACAATTATTTCTACTAATATGGGTCAACTCTGAGGGTTAGAATAAATGATTCGCTCTCTGGGATGGAATAGGCTGTGAAAATGTACCAGTTGTGTGATCTTTGGCAAGCTGGATTTCCAAGTCCCCTTTTCCTCTTCTGTAAAATGTAAAGAACACCTAGTCTAACAAGGTTGTTGAGAGAATTGTATCTGTCTTGGTAAGTGTTTACCTGCTGATTAGAAAATTATAAGCATTTAAAACAGGTAGGAACAGTCGCTCCTGCTGTATGGGGAAGACAACTGAAACCAAATTCATTAACACAGTGGACAGGGTCCCATCCACCAGAACTTCTCTGGCCTACCACATTCTACAGACAGGAAAATAAACCCCATCCAACAACCTCTTTCATAGTCTCCAAAATTGATCCCTTACTCTGTTAGGAAAAACAAAATGCTAATTGCTGCTAAATGTCTACTATCACGTTTTGTACCTTTAATTTGTCAACTAGAAATTGCAGAGGGGTTTCTGACTCCATCCAAAACATGCAGAACAAATGGTGGAAAAACAAGGGGAAGATAAGGTCACACGCCTGAACCGGAACTCAAGGAGCTTATTCTCAGTATTTGCTGTAGATGGATAGATTGGTGGTAGAAAACAAGATGCTTTCTTTCACTATCATAAAGCAAGAATAATGGCTACCTCAACAATATACAATTCCTTAGACTTCTTAACACAATAAAAATGAATCCGTTTCCTTTCCCTTAGTAAATATGCACATGGGTAACAACTGAGCATCTTTCACATAAAACTGCAGATTAAGCTGTATCTGAACTGCACTGTATTCTAGGATCATATAAATGCATGAAAGAGTCCTAAGAAATAGCGAGACAAAACGCTGGGGAATATCACCTTGAAATCAACCAGGAAGGAATCATATGTCATGCCAAAGGCATCTCCACTGATAAAGTCCAGACCCTCCATACTCAGGACGGTGCAAACCCACATCCCTTGTAAGGAAATAAACAGGAATCACCGCAGCAACCAACCTCAGCCATCCGCATCGACCAGATGAACCCCTACTCAAACGGCACTAAACACCGCGGATCCAAGCCCCTCCTGGCAGCTGCCAAGTCCCGCGCTGACTCCAGACTACCTCACTTCCTTTCCGTCCTCCCTCCCTTGCTCGACTCCTGGCATTTCTCTCCAGCCCTTGCCATTGACAGAGAAGGTAGGCACACGACAGACTTCCTATACTTTGTCCGGGGAGTACCGGGCCACACATACCCGTCCCTATTACGATCACATCAAACTCCGATGGGAGACTTTCCGCCATCTTGACAGGAAGCATGTCATGTGACTATTACCAGTTGAAATGAGATCGAGTTAGGCATTCCCTTGGTGGAAGGCGAAAGACAGACAATGCATTGTGGGTATTGTAGTTTTCGGTTGAAGGGTCCAGGTAGGCGACTACCGCATTCCATTTCAAACGTTAAAAGGAATGCTAAAAACTGGATTCATTCTCCTACCTGAATGCAGTAGCTCATTTACCCTGAAGGTTTCAAGTAGGAAATAAATGTAGATACTTACACTCCTCTAAGTAGGATGAATGTGGGAAGTCTTGAATACCCCTTGACAACGATAAAGCAACTATGTTAGGAAACGTATACGACTGAGTGAAATCAAAAGGGACTTGCTTTACGAACAAAGGAGATTTTCATTACAGCTTGGAAAACTTTTCCCCCAGCGTGTCTGTACTTTCATTTTGGACCCTGAGGCATGGGTTTTCACTCCAATATTTTCAAGCTATATTCCGTGTCTTTTTTATCTCTAGGTCTCCCCAAGGAAACCACACTAAAAGTTCTTATCCTAGTTTCGCCAAAATGGAGCTCCCATCATACCCGTATTTGTTCTAGTTAGTCCACACAGCCACCCTGGCAATATTTATTTGCAAAATTAACTTAGCTTTATAGGAGGAAAGGCAATTCAGGAGACAGAGGCAGGAGGATCTGGAGCAAGGCCCTGTCCAAAAAAAAAAAGCGTTTGTTGACTCAGAATCTGATTTTCTTTCACAAATAAGATAATCTATACAATATTCACCTAATAAACTTCTATAAATAATGATTAAAAATAAGTGGCCTTTATATCAAAGTGCTTGTATTTGATGAGGGAGCTTTTGGTTATTTATGCCAAGCAAACGTCATAAATATTTTTAAGGTCCATCATCTTTCACTCCCCATTACTTAAAATGCTTTCTTGCCTGAGAATACCAAGCAGAAACAAGGAGTGCATTGAAATGTGGAAGATACTTTTATCTCAGAAATTACTTGTGTAGTTATTTTATAAAAGTTTCAAAATAAATCAGAGAAGGTGCAGTAATGGAACCTTCCCCTATACCATCTGTCTTCTGAGCTGTTTACTCTCCCGCATACATGCTGTTTTCCTTACTATCTTTGTGACCAAGCTCACACTTGCTTTTCTCTCAGAATGCAATAACCTTCCCATACTCTAGCTAACATTTATCCTTAAGATCAGGTAGAGATACATCATTTAACCTGATTTAAACATTACATAATGTGTACATGCATCAAAACATCACAGGATAACCCATAAATAAGTGCAGTTTTTATATATCGGTTAAAATAATAAAATAAAATTTAAAAGAACTTCAGAAACAAATAAATAAAACTTTTAGGATTTTTTTTTTTAATATTTGTCTGTTTCCAGCTCTTTCTCCTTTCACCTCCTCCCTATTTTGGGCCGTTTCCTTCCATAATGCTACTACCACTCTGTCATAACCTGCCATATTGCACTGAAATTGTTCACATTTATGCTGATTCCTATACAGTACACATATCTCCATACACACATACAAAAATGCACACATAAACACACACTACTATAAAGTATAAAACTCTGAGTGACAGAGACCAAGTCTTGCTTCTCTTTTTACCCCCTCCCCCACAACCTAACTTAAGCCTATTCTTGTAAAAGGGGCTCAATAAATGTTTGCTGAACCGAACATAGTTCTGACTCTCCTGATGGATGTTTAGCACCATGAAGACAAGGATTCAGCCATCTTTACCTTTATATCTTCCCACCACTATCATGTGTCTTATTTTTTAAGATGTTTGATATATTTGTTTCTGGATGTGTGCTTCATGTGGTAGAGCACTTGTCTAGCAAGCATAAGGCCTTGAATACAAACCCCAGTACTGCCAAAAAAGTTTGTGCTATTGGTACATTTGTTAATTTTGAAAAGGTCCATGAAAACTACTTAAAAATGTATCTTGCTGTGGTTTCTGTTGCATTTCTGTTGTATTTTTCCATAATTGGCAATATTGTAGAAGTTTCATTAATTTCATTTATGGATTATTCTATTATATTAAACAATTCTCTTTGGGATATGGTCCTATGGTGAATATTTCATGTAAAAAAGACTCCCCTGAGAAGTATAATATATTGTTCAGTAAATCCCTGTGCCATTTCCCGTGGTATAAAAAGAAAATTTGGGGTATTATCAGAAGTAAAATAGATCTTATTATGAGATTCTTTTATTTAGACTGACATCATTTCATTTTGTTGTGTGTTTATATTTTTATTAGTGTAAATTAACTGTACAAAGAGGTTTCATGGCGATGTTTCCATATATGCATATATGTACTTTGATCGAATTCACCCCCTCTATTAATCTTTCTTAATCCTCCTCTCCTCTTCCCTTCACAATTTATTAGCAGTTTATAGTGGGTCCCCTTACACTATTTTTTGCCGGGATCACAGAGGTCCTTGACCCAAAAGGGCTCAAGAAAAGAATGAACAAAGCAGGACATACAAAAGGAGTCACTCACTCAGGAAGGGAATGACAAAACAAATATCGAGAGGGCCAGAAGGCTGATGACCAACTGGCAAAATTTTATTTTTCTCATCAAGCTTTATACAAAAGAGGAAGAGACTTGAACATCAAAACACTCTGAGCTAGTTACAACCTTTCTGTTTTTGCCATCTGTATTTTTACTGCCAGTGTCCTTGACTAAGTATAAACTTCTTTTCAGTCAAGGGAAACCATTTAATGTTCCTTCCCACTGTGATAGAGACATGGTGCACCTGCAGATTCCGACCTTGTCAGAATGCTGCTAAGCCACAGCGACCTTGTCAGACTGTGGCTTTTGGTTCCCAACAACTTTTATAAATATATATATAATGTATTTCAATCATATTCTCTCTCCATCACATACACCTTTCCCTCTCCCTACTCACTTCAGCTCCCCCCGCCAAACAGTTCCTCTTTTACAATCATGTTTCTGTGAGACACTTGACATGCCAGTGGAAATGGAAGTTAATAGATTTCCTAGAGTAAATGCAGGAAATTTTTCAAGCAGTAAGAAGCCATAGGTAGATGGCTAAAAACATGATAAATGAAATTATTTCTATCTTATTTTAGAGATATGTGTATATACATGTATGCATGTATATGATACGGATATGTCATATGTATTCTTTCAAATATGGGTATCTAACTTTCTAGGTTTTCAGAAATTTTTCTAACAATCACTGAAAACAAGAACTCAGTCAATTTGTTCCTCAAATATTCATTAAGCACCTATTATGTGCAAGGCACTGATTTAGATGCTAGGATTACATCAATTAGCAAAATGGACGAGACAGAAACCCCTGTATTGTTTTGTGACATTTTACTGACATTACTAATTCTTATATTCATCTTTACCTCGTATAAAATCTAAAAAATGCATTTGGAAGAGAAGGTATCTTAAACATTTTCTACATGCAGAGGCTTTAAGCTTTTTTTTGGTGGGACTGAGGTTTGAACTCAGGGCTTCATGCTGGATGTAAACTAGTGGGATAAAACAATAATTAAGTAATGTCATGCTAACTTTTCAATCTGTCCTGCCTCATCTTTTAATCCTCCTTTTTTCTCTGAGAACAGAAGTCACAGTCCTCAGAGAGATAATATTAGCTGTCTTTTCACTAAAGTTATATGACTCATTCACACTCTTTCTGGGAATGCAAATCAAAAAATTAGATTTATTTTCCATTGCTCTTAAAATACTCAAAAATCATTAACATTTCTAATATTATTTTTTAGTGAAATGATAGTAAAGTTTATTAGGAAAGAAATTTAGTATAACAGTATAAAAGTGGGGAGAAATGGAAAAAGGAGAAACATTTCCTGCTTCCCTTGGAGGAATTGGGAATAAAGACTCTTGTTCTGATATTACTTCATAAGAAAAGTTCAGGACTGGAGGTTTGGCTCAAGCAGTAGAGTGCCTGCTTTGCCAGCATGAAGCCCTGAGTTCAAACCTCAGTCCCACCAAAAAACAGTTTAAAACCTCTGCATGTAGAAAATGTTTAAGATACCTTCTCTTCCAAATGTATTTTTTAGATTTTATACAAGGTAAAGATGAATATAGGAATTAGTAATGTCAGTAAAATGTCACAAAACAATACAACTAAACTGTTGTCTGTTACTCTGTGGCTATCTGCTTTTGAGAGCTGAAACATTTTATTTGGATGAGTCCCAGTACAATGAGATAACAGATAGTTAAGAACTGCCTACCCTATTAAATCATTGTGTCACTAAATTTGTACTTAATGGTTTCCTGAGATGCAAAACCATGATTCCCTAGACATTTATTATGTATTCAAAAGTTTACTCAACTGTGAGAAGACTGTTATCTTTTACAAACCAAAAATTTAATGGTCTTTTTTGCTAGGATCTTTCCTTTGAGCTCCAGAACCATATCTAACCACTTACTGAGTATTTCTTCTCAGTATGTCAAGTACTGAAGTGCTGTATGTTCCAACCCCACTTCCAACAGTTCTTTTCATCCATTGTTCCCTATCTTAGAAATAGTAACACCTTGCACTACCTCAATTCAAAACCCCCCCAAATCATTCTTTTTTTTGGCAGTACTGGAATTTGAACTCGGGCCTTCCAAACTTTCTAAGCATGTGCTTTACTGCTTAAGTCATGCCTCCACCACTTTTTGCTCTGGTTATTTTGGAGCTAGGTTCTCACTTTTTCCCCAGGCCTGCCTGGAGCAAGGATCCTCCCCATCTCAGACTCCAGCATAGTTTGGGATAACAAGTGGGCACCACTGTGTTCAGCTATTGGTTGAGATGGGGATTATCACCAACTTTTTTCTT